TGGAACTTAACAACCTTCATTTATTTGTGGCCTAAATTTTTAAAACAAAAGGAGTCTGAAGGACACGGAGGAGGATGTGTGTGTGGTAGACAGAGATCTCACTCGGGGAAACAGTCAACAATCACACCGTCCGGTAGATTTGCGTTGCGGTTCTGTGTCCGTGCTGACAGGACAGGGAAGAAAACCAGACTGTTGGTAGCTCTGGGTTCATCGTCAGCCATGTTATGTCAGGGGCTGTTACATGACTTATGTTTATGTTTGGTGGGTGTTGCAGATAACACGTTATGTGTATATATCTGTGTATTTACACAGCCGGCTTTCTCTAACACGTCACACATTGACGACTGCCTGTTAGTGACTCCTGTGTCTCTCACTCCAGAGCGTGGTGGGGGTCCCACCGCCAGAGACGACAGCTGCGCTCGCATGCTGGAAGACCAGGCCAGTGGACGGGCGCACGTGTGTGAGCGTGAGTATGGCCGGACGGGAGTGAGTCTGAGTATGGCGGGATGGAGTGAGTATGGCAGAACGGAACGAGCGTGAGTATATGGTGGGATGGAGTGGCTGGGAGTATGGCGGGACTGAGCGAGTGTGAGTATGGTGGGACAGCGAGCATGAGCATATGGTGGGAAGGAAGGAGTGTATGTATGGTGAGATGGAGCGTGTGTGAGAGTGATGGTGTGAGTGTAGAGGGATGGACGAGATCCCTCTACGTGTGGGTGCATGAGATGGCCAGTCATGTGTCCTGCCCCCCCTGAGCCGGGCGTCCATGTCGGTGTGATGTATGACCATGTCGTCCGACTCATCTCAGAGAAGGCCTCAGTAATTAGAGGAGCAATAAGAATTAGGATTACCCTGGACAGGCCATTTGTCCTACTTTACTTAACGGTGAGTCAGCTGAACATTCAGGGCAGGATTCAGAGTCCGTGCTGAACGAGCATGCTTGAGTGTTCCCTAATTAAAAGAAAGCAAGGTTTAAGATAATAACGCCAGTGTTGCTTTGTACCAAACTCCCCAGAGTAATTACAATGCATAATCATATTTTATCTGGGATTATTTTATCTACAGTGTGACCAGAAAGAATATATTGGCTCATTACCACTAAGACAAAGTGGTTAATTTTCTGGCCGTGTTCAATGGGTTTTATTCTGATTGGTTAATATCACCCATCCTGCCAAGCTGAATTTCAGTCTATTTGCATGGTAATTGAGCACAATAATTTGACCAGATGCTCGTGTATCTGAGCCCCTCCAACAGACGCCCCCCTCAACTACGTTTAAGGTCGTGATCTTCACTCACTGCTTTTCCGACGCTCTTACCAGGGCAGAAGGTTAAACCTGTGCTTGACTCACCCCAACCTCTACAAACATCTCATACTTGTGAGGGCTTTAATATAGCCAGCACTGTCTAAAATGGCAGGAAGGTAAAATCCAGTGAGGAAGAGGATAGTGTCACAAGGAGGATCAGGCTGAGGTCACAGTGAGGAAGAGGCTGAGGTTACTGTAATGAAGAGGATGGTGTCATAATGAGGAAGAAGATGACACAGTGATGAAGAGGCTGAGGTCATAGTGAGGAAGAGGATGGTGTCACAATGAGGAAGAGACTGGTGTCACAGTGAGGAAGAGACTGGTGTCACAGTGAGGAAGGGGCTGGTGTCACAGTGAGGAAGAGGCTGGCGTCGAGCCAGGTCAGTTTGGGCTGGGAGGTCATGGCTGTCAGGGTTCTCTACACATGGTGACCAGAGGCTTTGCTCAGCTCTAAGGGATGTTGAAGTGTTGCTGCTGGATCCTCCTGTAAGGCACTATATCAGAGAGCCTTACACCCAAACATCAGCCCCCCTGTCAGACTGCACCACCGGTTTATGTTTCGGGCTTCAGCCAAACCCTCAAAAGCCAAAACCCCAACAGCTGGGCGCCCCTGCAGTCAGGGCCCCATGGGGCCCCTCAGGGCCAGCTCTGCAGTCAGGGAGCCCCGGGCCCCATGGGGCCCCTCAGGGCCAGCTCTGCAGTCAGGGAGCCCCGGGCCCCATGGGGCCCCTCAGGGCCAGCTCTGCAGTCAGGGAGCCCCGGGCCCCAGTGGG